AAGGTGTAGGATGGTCAATCCCATATAGATCTATACACAAACTCACGCTCTCTCTCCAGGAGACTCTGGTCACAAAACGTGACACAACAAGTATATTGCTATGCCATGAAATAGTGTTTCACATTCTAGTTGTTTTGTTCTTGTTATAGTATGTATGTTCTTTTCTGTTCTTGTTATAGTATGTATGTTCCTTCCTGATCTAGTTATAGTATGTATGAACTGACTCATGTATGTTTCACTGATCTAGAAATAGTAAGTAGTAATCCTCTAAACTATACCTATTATAGTTTACTAGTATGATTGTTTGACTGTTTCTGATTTGTAGAAAAGACTCAATTACTCACCATAAGCAACTAAGTTAAGAACGATCCTTAAAAATGGGTTTAATATTCATTTATGTATTTAATGAGCATAACTATGATTTAGCCGACAGTCGAACTAGTGATCCTACCCTAAGTCCACAACCAAACAAGGAACAGGAGTCAAGGTATTTAGCAGTAGTCCTAAGTCCGTTAAAGCATACTTATACGTAAATAAATAGATGAATATGATTTTGATATAAAAGAAGCATAAAATAGTTTAAAAGAGTTTTAACAAGTTTTTGAGTATAAGAAATCCTTTTGTTTGCTGTTTTCATACGTAAATGGTTAACACATTTGTATTGTGTTTTACTTGTATTCTCCCCCTAAAAGCATTTAAAAGCATTTAAAAGTGTACTTGTAGGGGTATAGACTCACCTGATGTGAGTGATTCGGATGAAAGTTCGATATAGGATGCTTGGTATGCCAAGTGAAGTCCCGAGCACAAATGGATCCTATTTAGCATATATTAACATATATACGTATGAAATTAGGGCCTATAACAGCTAATATGTAAAGGAAACAATCTTAGGATCTAGGAAACACTTACAATGAAGTGTTAGAACCGAAAATGAAGGGCTGAAAGATGATCACGACCACACAAGAGGAGTTCACGGTCCTTTGAAGGGTTCACGGCCAAGAGCACTTGAAGTGTTCACGGACCAAATGATGAATCTTTGAAGGGTTCACGACCAAGATGAAGGGTTCACGGCCAGAACTCCTTGAAGATCTTGAAGACTTTGATGAAAAGTGCAGGATCAATAGATGAAAGCAAATGGTTTCCAAGGAATAACAAGAAAAGGGTGTGATACTTACGTTTTTGAGATGAAAGGAGACCCTTATGTGGATGATACTTGAGAGAGAAAGGGAGAGTTCACGGTTGGAATATGAGAAATGGAGAGAAAAATGACTAACACCCATATATATAGGGGAGAGGGTAGTTCACGGCCCAAGGATGGGTTCACGTCCGTGAACCTAGTTTGCGGCCGTGAACCTCTTTTGAAGGTGATGGTGGACGGACGTTATAAAGGAAGAGAAGAAGAAAGATAAATGGGGTTAATTATACAGAAAAATTAGGTAACTATCAATAATTATAGAGGATAAATAAATATTTTATTTAATTAATTAATATCTTAATTAAAACCTAAGATTATTAATATACCCTTAATTAGGTTTTTGAAATGATTGTTCCATATTGATCCTTACATCCACACAATAGCTGTTTAACCACATTTGAACCTAGGTCAATATATATATATATATATATATATATATATATATATATATATATATATATATATATATNAAAATAAATTTCAAAACCAAAACAACCACTAGACTCTAAGACCAATATTAAAAAGAAAATGTGCTTCCTAAATACTTTGAGCTTCAATGGACAACAAAACACATCTTAGTTGCTCGAGCTCATGTTTTACTTCTTTCATTGTCGGCCTGGTCTTCCCTTCAAGATCAAGGCAGTTAATTGCTATCTTAGTAAAGCGTTTCACCATCTCCGCATACACATCTCCTTTTAGTTGATCATCAAGAACTTGAACCAATAAATCACATTCCAGTAGCGAAGTGAAGTATGCAGCTGCACCTCTATAGACTGTTAGTGGTGTCTCTAAAGAATGAATCTTTGTTCCTGTGAGTAACTCTAACAGAACAACTCCAAAACTATAAACATCACTTTTCTGGGTTAGTTTGGAGGTACAAAAATACTCAGGATCCATATACCCGATTGTTCCTTTAACAAATGTTGATAGGTGGGTTTCACCAAGAGGGACAAATGTTGAAATCCCGAAATCAGAAACTTTTGCAGTGAACTCATCATTCAATAGTATATTTGATGGCTTGACATCTCTATGGATAATTTGTGTGGTTGAGTGCATATATGCAAGAGCTTCAGCAGTTTCTGCAGCTACCTTGAGCCGTTTTTCAAATGTCAATATGGGATGTCTATGTATGTGGTGGCATAAGGTCTTATTGGTTATATATTCATACACAAGCAAGGGAAATTGTGTCTCTAGGCAACAACCAAGGAGTTTTACGATGTTGGGATGATTAATTTGTGACAGAATGATCACCTCGTTGACAAACTGCTTGATTTGGCCTTGGTCAATTACTTTAGATTTCTTGATGGCTACCACTGTCTTATTTGCTAAAATTCCTTTGTAAACAGTACCATAACCCCCTTGGCCTATGATGTTTGTGTCATTGAAGTTTTCTGTTGCTTTCTTTAGCTCTTCTTCAGTGAAAATTTTTGCTTTGTTGAAAGGATCTTTACATGTAAATAATGTTTTCTGTAACATGATACCACCATTTTGCTTGAAGAAGTCCTTTCTACCCTTTACTCTTATCCTCCGTTTGGCTCCACAGTAGACAAAAATCATTACCACTACTGCACCTGCAACACCTTCAATGATACCTGCATCAAAGCTTTCAACATGAGCCCTCTGTTAGCCATCAAATGGAGATGGGTAATGCAAATCCTCCCCCTTAAATCCATAATATTTTCAATTGTTGGGCAGTTGTGTTTTGGGACTTTGAAGCCATAATTATCTGGTCAAAGATAACGATGTTTGTATCATTAACTACCTTCAATGACCGATCTAGGTTTTGATTGTGGCTCAACAGGTGTGCACTCTCCACCTTTTTTTGCGTTACCTTGGTGATCATTTGGACAAATACACTTATAACCCCCATGTGTGTTCTTACAATATCCTTGCAAACAGTCATTGAGCTCTGAAGATTCACATTCATTGACATCTAACAAAAAATGTGAGATAAAACAGTACTTGTCATGCATGATACCATAATATTACATATATATTGTTTAATTTGTAGACAAACATATTTAAATAATATAAAAATAGGGTAGAAACTAGAAATTATACCCTGACATCCGTTTTGGATGTAGGGGTTTCCAGTGTATCCATCAGAGCATTTGCAGCGATATCCCTTAACACCAATTTCCCCATCATAACATTCACTGTTTTCTTGGCACATGTAGGTTACTTTATCCTTTTGAGCTTCTTCACACATTGCATCCCCTACAGACCAGTCAAGCGCTACAGGGAAAGACATGTTGTTGCTCATATTGGGTAGCTCACTGGTGTTAAAGTAATACTTGTCTTTTTCCACAATGAAAGCATAACCACATCTACTAAGATTCCCTACCACTGATGTCTTGTTTTCTGGGAGACTGATATCAATTCCAGCATATGTCATGCCTTGTTGAATACTAGCTTGGCAACATCCACGACCTAGGCATGACCCATTTCTAACAGAACCATGAAAAAAATTACAATCCAATAGACACTTCATAGCAACAGACGGGTTGTTAAGCCCAATATTGGCTTCAAGATCACAACCTACTCCTGTGAACCAGTTTTGTGTGCTTGAAAAGGGGAACCTCGATGTACTAATTGTTGTCGTTGAGCCAGAAACTACCTTCCCCCACTCATTGTAGCATCTATATGCAATTGGTAGATTAACTCTAATAAGGTTTCCATCTATTTTTATCTCTACAACTTCTAGAGGACGAGACTGGAATCCAAACATCACCGAAAGTATGCTAGAAACGTTCAAGTGTGGAATTCCAGTTGTGGAGTTGCAGTCTATGTAGTAAGACTCATCTAGGTAGCAACCTTCTTCAATTCCAAAAGGGTAAGGTATGGAGACATTTCCACATTTGTCAGAACATGTGGGCTTACATTGTGTAGCATTCACGAACCCAATCAACAAAATCTGCAGCATCAGTACTAGTTGAGACAATTTCATGATTTTTTATAGGTGTGATTAACGTGAAAAGCTGGAGATGAACCCAAAATATGTGGGCAGACTTGTAAATATTAGGTACAAAATGCCTCGATTACATAGTTGGTCTTTAGAAAGGAATGTTTCCCTACTTTTTCTACTTTTGTATCTAGCCTTTCTCTCATCGTTATCTTCTGTGAAAGGTTTTGGCAATCGTTATCTACAATGGATCCATGAGTGAATAAAACATACATAAACCCTCGTTTTCCAAAATAAAAGCTCAACTAAATGACAGCTTGGTCTAGAACTGTTTCGTATAGTTCTAGGTTCTCCTAGTATCTCGTGGTTTCATCTGTACGTATTTCCCTAAGATTCATGTGAGTCCAATCAAGGAAGATAACTATGAGGACCTTTACGCAGAATCTTTTTAAGTTCAGTAAATTACAAGAAAGACTGGTTAAACTGGAAATTAATTAATATTAGTGCTTGCTTTTAACTTCCTTCATATGTGTTTAATTCTAAGATCATATCATCCTATAAATCTGATATGTTTTTTTTTTGACAGCAAGAAAATATTTCATTCAACAACTGGCCAAAACACAACCGGGGAGCCATGAGCAGATCACAAGTGTGTTTCTGTTGGAGAAACCATAAAAACATGACAGGAAGAAGATTTTTTTTTAATTTTTTTTTTGATAGCGTTTGGCAAAGCAAGGACCCGACGGAACAAAATTGTAAAATTACTAAATTATCCTTAAATTTATCAAAATTTTCATAAACCGTTTTTTACCTTGTTTTACAATATAATGCTTATAATCTACATTTTAATAACCTTATTGGAAGTTACTAGTATATATGTGTATCAGATTGGAAATCTGGAATTGGCTTTTGTTTTGGATAAGAGGTACAAATCATTGATTTTCTAAAGAAAAAAGATGAAAAATTATGATAGGGCATCCAAGATGATCATCAAATCATCACCAATCAGATTTAAAATATATTATATAAAGAGAGACAATTATCACCAAGACACCAACGAAATAATTTTTTGTTGTATTCACTGTTATAAACAATTCCTTTTTTCTCCTTGAAAACTTTTTGAAGAAACAATAGAAAATTGTAAGAGGCCACATAAATGTTAACAGGAAAAAGATGTACGATGACCGAGGAAGAGAAGACTGGGTATTTATGTAAATATTTTTTGTCCCACTATATGTTGGATCAGGCCCTTTGAAAACACACACAACAAACACTACTCAACAACTCACGATGTGCACTGAAGGTGCTTTTCTTGGGGTTTTTATAATTAAACCAAAGATGTGCCTTATATAGGCTTTCAAACATACATCACGATGGAAGAAAACAAATACAATTAAAATATTATTCTAA